CTTTGTATTTTATGGCGAAAATTATGGAATTTAAAGAGGTAATCAACACCACATTGTCAAGGCAAGTCATTTTTTTTATAGTTGTGATGTGAATTTTCTATCGAACTAATACAAACTTTCAGGTATTCCATTAGTGGTTATTTAAGTAGGGACTTGATTTCAGTCATTGCAAGTCCCGAACCAAAATTTTGACTGTTAGTTCAAGCCATGACAAGTTTCAGCTAAAGTACAATCCAGACATAACTTAACTTCCAAGCTGGTTTTTAGCCGGCTATTTAGCAGGCTTTCCTTTAATTTTCATAAAAGTTCATAATTTTTAAAGTGCTTCATTGTCATTATAAATTTCAACTTATTCTTTGTAGTGTTTACTTATTTTACTAATATGAGACATATTCAGGCAGAATACTCTGCACAAATTAGATACGTGTCAGTTTTGAAAGCGGTCTAAACTAGCTTTAAGCTTTATATAACAAACTCACAAAATAGTCCTGTTTATATATAGTCTGCATTTTCTTTCAAAAGATTGTGACAAAAAATAACCAAATTTTTTGGGTAAAACTGAAAATTGACATGTTGGCTCCAAAATTAGGGTTCATTTCCAGAAATATTGAAGAATATAAGAAAAAAGTGCAAAAAATTTTGGATGAGAAAGGCTAGTGGTGCGAAGGTTAAACCAGCTAAAGCTAGCTAAAAGTTAGACTTGGGCTGTATTGTACATACACCCAACCAAAAACCAACTTGACCTGTCAGACATTATTGCCAATATCAGGGTTCTTCCCATAGCATTAGTGCATAAAAGCTTACTATTCTATAATTTGGTAAAATAACTTCAGTATAACAATACATACAATAGAGAGTAGTAACATATTTTAATGTTATGCAAATTTTCCAAAATGCTAAGTTGTTTTCCTGTTTGTGCCATGAGTTTTATTTTAATATGAAGTGGTCATTCAACTCAACAGGTAGGTTTGGAGATTATAACAACAGAATTCCCAGGTTTCAATATTACCGGTATAGCCACTCCCTGGTATTAAAATAGATATGCATGTAATACACATGTGTTTGCATGTTTCCAGGGGCTGACAATTTTTATCTGTGAATACCCGGTACATCTGTGAATACCCGGTACATCTGTGAATACCCGGTACATCTGTGAATACCCGGTACATCTGTGAATACCCGGTACATTAATAAGAACAACTTGCTACAGTACTACCAATGTGAACTAATGGTGCATTTCTAGACCAGTATTAAAATCAATAGGTTGTCAGCACTACAAGTTAATATAATAAGTCACTATTATCAATTAGTTAATGAGTAGGAAAATAGATGCTTCCACTATCGTAAATCATGGACATTTCCTCATTATCAACCAGAACTATAATAACTGGAGCACAATATTTACTATTATCAACCAGTTTTGTATTTATGAGAGTACCGGCACCCTATTTTCAACCAGAACTGTATTAACTAGTGTGAAACTATCCAGTAGTATATTAACCAGAGTGCATAATGCCTATTATTAACCAGAATTGTAATAATAACTAGAGAGCAGTGTTTTCAACCAGTACTGTATTAACTAGTGTGAAACTATCCAGTAGAGAACTAGAAAACTAGAAACTAGAGAGCAGTGTTTTCAACCAGTACTGTATTAACTAGTGTGAAACTATCCAGTAGAGAACTAGAAAACTAGAAACTAGAGAGCAGTGCTTTCAACCAGTACTGTATTAACTAGTGTTAAACACCATCAATCAGTAGTGTATTATGCTAGTACCTCATTATCAACCAGCCATAACTGAAATGGACTGTAATTATCAATCAATTGTAACTGTACGGCGACAAAGATCAAAATCTACACAACTTGTTACTGCTTCTCAAATAATGTTCCAATTTTTCCTGTCATCATGTCCACTGTACTGGCAATTACCAAGGTTATATAGAATCAGGGGAACAGTGAACATGAATAACAGGAGAAATTGGAACATTATTTAATGTTAACTTTTCCATACAGTTGTAATAAAGTTCCATCTCATCTGATGCATAAAATATTTCTAAATTAACTTAAATTCAACTGTTATTGTAATAGCTCATTAGTCTATTTTACATCCGGCCACAAATCATGCATGGTTCAGTGAATTTAACACAGAGCTGAAAGAAAATTAAATAGTTCCATCCATAAACAAACCTACACACATTAATTGTTCAGTCTCTCATTACTCTTAGTAATGTTTTGATGATTTAAAGTATGTTTCAACAAAACTACAAGATTTTTATTCTACAATCATGAATTACAGAAAGTGTTTTAGTTCATGCGTCATTGCATCATAAAACTATACTAAAAGAAAAACCTATTTACATACTGTCATAAGTTAGTTGAAGAAATACAAGTTAAAACAAGAATTATAGAATCTTGTGACAATTTATTTTCTTGTTCACTATATTTTAAACTACTGCTATTTTCAGTAAACAAAACTACATAACGATTATCATTATACATCTGTCACCGTAACACCATAAGTTACAGCGTGCTGTTATTTTGCAGTATTTTACGGAGTATTTTCATCCTACCATACAAGGGAATGCGAATTCCAAATATGGAATGATTACGCATGTAAGTGTCCTCTAATAATAAAAACAAACATGGCTGCCATCAGGGTTTGACCGGACTCCACATGAAGAAGTTCGCTGATTCTGTTCTAAACTTTTTGGATATCGGCATTCCCATGATGTATCCGTGGAAGGAAAAGATGTATAATAATAAGGTTATTACGAGAATACATCAAAGTATGTACTCGTACAGTACGCCACGCTTCGACCACTGCTGCGCATCGGTCGATACCCCAGCTGTACTGTCTTCGTGCATATTTTGAGGTATTCTTGTAATAACCTCATAATATGTTTACAATCTTTTCTTTCCATTACGATGTTAATTTCCTGGTTGTTCTGAAGTGCTTTTTAAAGTGAAGGAAATCGTGAGTGGAGGAAAGTGAAGACACTCTCACACAAAACTTAAAAGCAGCTGCAATTGAAACCACAAAAAATGAAGAAATTCTTATGATATAAAAAATAAACATGTTTTTCTGACAGATGTTTAGCAATGACATGTTCATCTTTTCATCATTCAATGTTCATTTTAAAATTCAGTTTCTCTAAAGTGAATTTTTAGATTTAAAAAAGCCAATTTTTATTTTTTCTAAATTTGGCAGACAATGAGTAATTTCTATCGTAAATTTGCATATTACCAAGGATTTAATGCAGCAGATTTCACATATCAACAAAAAACTCAAAATTAAAAGCCAGTGAACTATTAATGCCGCTATAGTATTCTATTTAGGTTTTTTGTAAAATTTTAGAATTAAAGTAATAATTTAAGAACCCCAATTTACAGACTACTAGGTAAAATAGTGTTCTATTTTCTGTATGTAATAAGCACATGTTATTTTACATGTACTAGTACAAGGATCTGAAGAATGTTCACTAACAAGTACTCGCTATTATACGATTTCCGTTATCTCAATGTTACGTACTAGTTTATATTGACCAAATAAATGTTAGTAGTGGTGTCACAGCCACAAAAACCAGATCGTTTAATAGGGAAATCCTTAAACTTATTGGAAGATAAGAAAAAGGGAATGATAAATAGTGTTTATACAGACAAAACAAGTGGTAATGAATGCAGTTCACAATGATGGAGACACAAACACAATGGCGAAACCATGGCAACCACTTACCTTCAGAAAAAACAAGATGTTCGCAGATACACAGTATAGCTAAAACCGCGGCTAAAGGATTGTGAAATCGGATCTTCATTTTTGTGTAAATATATTTGGGTTCAAACTCTTAAACTTCCTTGGTTCACGCCAGGTGGGTTTCGCTGATCCCCAGGATAGGCGGCCACAGTGTCATTTAGTCACATTCGATGAGTAACGTTGAGACCTGTGAGATAAAAATAAGCACATATATCCATCTATCTATAGTTAATATCGGTGCTGTTGCCCGCTTAGATCAGTCATCACTGCACTAAGTAGTCGCTGGTCATTGTCCTGTACCTCTGGGAACAATCGACAGCACACGACTGCTACATGATATTTGAAAAGGGGCTTTATTATACGTCCAGATGTTCGTACGGAAATCGGGCGGCCTTTTACCCTTAGAAACCCTCAAACGCGCCCCTCGTGGTGCACACGTCGGTCTCACAAGAAGTGAGTTAATACAGGTGTTTGGAGCTTTTATAGAAAAAAAAAACAACGGGATATGTTAGAAATCTAAAATGATAACAGTTGACGACCCGTACCGGCCATGCGCCGTGAACAGTTGTTGATCGCATGCCCAGCCACAGCATGCACGTAACACAGCTACGGGAACACAGCTCAGCGCTCTTTAACCCAAAGAATCGCATGCAAATTTGCACTCATTTCCACGCCAAATAATACTTTATATTTTAACAATATAGCAGAATGCATATATATTTTTTTTTTCTGAAATAAATACCTCACCAGTATTACCAGTAGCAGTACGTCATCATTGGCAGATGAAACCATTTTGCACCCGCATCCCTAACGGTTATGTTTGTACACATCAATTTCCCTGCCAAATAAAATGATATCACGACCTACCTTCGAAAAAATAGATATGTTCTCTGAAAATACGTTGAAACATATCCACTCACATGCTAACGCGATTAATTTATCCTAGACAGCGCGAGTATGCCGGGCATAGCCTTGTGCGCCGAGACTGCATCCACACAATGTCACTGTGAGCTTATCGTCATAAAAACCGCGGAACTGAAAGCACTATACCACGCCTAAACAATGTATTCTTTTGTTATGCAAATGAGGTCATAAATAGGTCAGACTGGGAAATGAATGTGCGGAAATTCAATATATGTGACTACTGTAGTTTCGTCCTCTTACTGGTAAGAGAGGCGCTATTTCAATGTGAATGTAGTTTTCAAATTTACATGTGTGAAATGTTGTAATCGCGAACTAATTAGGTTAAACATGATGCCGCCAACAGTGATGGAACCAGGGTGAGTTCGTCTACCGTTATATTCATTGAGTGCAAGAAAGGCGCCGCTTTGTGAAGACGAATTGTTTACTTTAAGTTCAATTCCGAACACATTGATAGATAAATAAATATTTTATATTCGTATTGTGATTATTTTACAGGGCCATGTATCAGCGATTTTTTGGCAATGTGTGTGAGAAATCTTGACGGTTTAATTGTGTGTTGTCACAACTGACAATGAAGTTGGGAAATAAAGTGATCAATAACCCGTAAAAACGTCTAAGCTTGTGGCGCGATTAAAAATATTAATCAACCTGGAATCCAGTCAAACGATTGTAAATACCCACAGGCACACTGAAGTTAAAATAACTAATCACGGTACTAGAAATTGTATGACAGTCTGGTAAGGCCTTTCAGTGAACGCTCTCGGCACACGCGAACTTTAAACGTAAGACCCATGTATTTTTTCAACATTGTAAAACTAAAACAGTATTTTAAAGTTAGCTAATCACTCGTCACAGTCTCGGCAAAATAAGTCACATATATGATTCTATTCTTAATGTTACGTAAGTTGATTTTCACACTGACTGTAGATGGCGCTATCTGTTCTGTCATGTCCAGGTGATCGTTTCAAACTACTAGTAAAATAAAGATGAAATTAATCTTCATTATGGAATATATTATTATCCTTGTCTTTGTTCTTAAATAACAACGAAATAATTACTAAGTGTGTTATACACGCTTAAAAAACCTACCAAGTCAGAACATTTATTCAAAATAATATAAAATCATTTATTTTTTATATGCGTTATTATGCGTTTTACTGATTACTCTAATTTTAATCTGCTCATTATTCGGGTTATATTACCACGTATTCGGATAACTTCCCACGGGGTAATGATTTTAAAAGAGCGAGTGCATAGCACGATTTCCCCCCGCAGAACAAAACCATACCTACCACCAGAGGGCGCAACTCGGACAGTGTCGACAATTTTGTTGGTGGAAGATTAGAATATGTTGAAACTATGTTTAAAAGCCTGCAGTCACTCACATTTGACATCATATTTTTGTATTCCGGTATTTCGATGTTGATGAATTTGTCAAAGTAAATTTCAAGTTTGACAACCTTGTTCTTTCAAGTTCCGATTTTCACAATCGCAACTTTTTATACACACTATTTAACATTTTTAACTACTTGTAACGCATGCTGATATTTTCCTGGAATAAACGTTACCTGTTAAAATATTTCAAGTTCCGCTTCATAGACTTGAACGACACATCGTCTCTCAGCGGTGAACGACACTAGTACCAATGCGGCACTTGTGATATATAGTTTCGGTCAACTTGATTAAGATGTCAAAATAAAAACTTCATCAACCTAAGGGGCGAAGCCAGGTTATTGTGTAACCGTATTGAAACTCTTGAAAATCACGGAATTACGAACACAGAGCCAGTGAGCGTTTTTAACATACCGGTACATTTGAATAGGTAATGAAATAATACTACCGTCTTCGCTAGACGTCCGGTGTAGTGTTGTACATCGAGCGGAACGACGCTTATATTGTGAGCTAGCATTATGTTGGATACGCTGGGTTTGAGGAAAACAGTCTCCCCACACTCTTGATTATAAATAATAACATAAATGATCATGATTGACTCATTGAGCTGAAAATGACCAGACTCAGTGATATTTTGCGACGGGGAGGCATCCGATCAGGACAGGATACTAGTGAGTTGCGGTTGAGAGCCCATGTGACTAGACATAATAAAATAGCATCTTGTTTTATTCTTGTGTCCCTGTTTATTTCGCAATATAAATGGGTTGTGTATTGCATATTCTCCCGATTTTTTAAGACAGTAATGTCTATCACCAGTACCATTGTAAACTGAGAACAGGCTTCTCAAGGTAGAGTGAACCAAGTGAGTATTGGTCACCAGATCCGGGAGGAGAATAACACACTGGAGAGGAGCACTTGTAGCCAATGTGTTTATTGCTCAACTGCTAGGCCTGGAACTGAGTCTAAATACTCACGAGATGTTCCATACAATGTATCAATATCATTATGCAAATAACTAAACTAAACGTCATAGCTTCAAATATATTATCAACAATATATAATGAAGTCGCTGTTTGGTCATACACATTGCGTAGAGTTTACAAATTCTTGTTTTCCGGCAGGAGTTACCGATAATCAAGAACTGTGGGGGTAGACCATTGGCCACACCGAGCCGATCGGGGTCGTAAGTTTTCACACGATAGCTTCACAGATAATAAACGCCCATTAAAAGTGACGCGCGGCTGTGAATCAACAGACAGTTTGTTTTTTAACGAGAAAGTTTGTTTGCGTGAATCGGACTGATGAATGTTACATGATCATCTATATTGTCAGAATTCACTCTGCAAATGCGTATGTAAGTGTGTTTTTAGATTGTTGAAAACTTGTGTCGAGTTCATTTCAAGGTAACTATATATGCTCAGGATTATTTATCCATGATTGTTATGATCTGCACATGAACTTGTCGGATAAACTTGACGAGCAAAATTCTATGAATCTTAAGCATATGATTATTTGTCTAGTGACCCCCCCCCCCCATCTCCCATTTACTAATAATATGTTAAATGGTCGTCATAATAAACGGAAATCATAGAAACGAATGATGTTTCATACAAAATTAGGTTTCATTGTACATGTATGAGAAATGTTTCTTATTTATTGCTAGAAATTTCCAAAACAATTACAGTTATTAACTACGGGTCATTTTCAGGGAATACACAAATGTGCATTCTTTAAAGAAATACATCAGGCTCCGAACGTCTGCCACAAAAATTGGATAATTTGATTTCGAACTTGCATTTCTCTTTTTCATATTTCAATGTCATATTTCAGATAGGAGTATGGTGTTGAAATATTTTTACTTTATCAATATTGACTACCATCAAATGTGTATAGCACATTATTAAGCGTGGAAATGCCCCCAAAATAGTTTCGCGTTTGTCCAATCAATTTGAGATAGCATATCTTCTGATTCGTGGGACCCACTGATAAACGTCACGGTGTTCCAGGTAACGTTCTAATACTGACAAAATGGTCACCATTCAACAAAATATAATCATAATTCGCCCGGGAAATAGACTGGTGCTACCAATATAAGTCAACATTCTTATATTGACCGGGAGTATAGTTTAGTCCAAGACCCCGGATCAGGGTCGTTCAAGATGTAAAGCAACGTCTGAGTAGAGTTTCTGCAATAAAAACAAAAGTATCCTGAAAAAAATTCTTGTGGCGCTGTGAGAAGTTATCACCCTCTCACACATCGTATTTTAAATTAATTTACAGTAAGCTAAATTACAAAATTAGTTTACACTAAGTTTAATAATCTAAATATATTAACTAATAAATTTCACAGTATATTAATTTAAATAATAAATAACAGTAGTTTTTGAAATCTTGCTTTTATATTTTAATTCAGCATTGGTACGAGGATGGAACACCCTTCGCGCGTGGTTGTCAATAGCAACTTCTTGAACAATGTGCTGAAGTAAACAACTGTTCCCATTTTATAGGTGGCTTACACGGATTATTTCCTGCGAATGTTGCCGACAATTTATCATCGGATTATTTTTTATGCATTTTCAGAAGACCCACAAATCTAGTATTTTTCATAATTCAGTCACAAGGCCACAGGAAAGGTCGAAATCAGTCGAGTCACGAGGACTCGGAACAAGGTCAACACACGTCTTGTCGTCCATTTTGAAGAAAGACGTCAATACTCACGGGCCGTGTAATATTTTTTGATTCAAAATGTATGATCGCGCCCCGCGAAATCTGTCATTGCCTGCGGAGAGCACCGGGCCCAACGTTGGACCGGGCAGTTATGAAACCCCGATTGCAACCCAGGCTCTCTTGCGATCAGGTATGTAGCAGTGATCCACCGTGATCGTCGAGCTTGTCATGAGTTCTTTTTCAACAAGTCTTAGATCAGTTAGCTTGTCGCCTCTGCTCCATCGTGTTGTCTATTACTCCCCTTTATGTTTTTTAATTGTATACTTTTACATATTCAATGTAATTTATGTGTAATGATCGAACAGCAAGTGCCCTGTTTTCACCTGAACGTGGACAAGTGTTTA